ATATATTTATACATAGGCTCAGAGAAGAAAACCAGGTTATTTATTAAAATGTCAAAAGTCAGACATCTCTTGGATACTTCTGGGGCTTCACATCTATTAACTCATTTTATCTTAACAACATGCCAATGAAGTAGGGTATTTCCAATTTCGTTGACAAAAAATAGGCACAGAGGAGATCATACCAATTATAAGGGACTGAGGGTTTCAGACCCCTGCAGTCTAGCTCCAAGGTCCACAGTCTTAAACAGAGACTATACTGAATTCCCACTTGATGTGTGCTTTAAGGCATGTGACTGCTAACCAGAAGGCTGGTGGTTCAAACCCACCAGCCACTCCTCAGAAGGAAGATTAGGCAATCTACTTCCGTAGAGATAACACCTCAAAAACCCAAGGAGGGGTTGCTGTGAGTTGGGACCGACTCGATGGTGTGTGCTTTAGGAAGACATTTACTTTGTGTGCACATCTGTAGTCTCTCAAAAAACGTTTTGTTTTTTTAAGCCAGCTTTGTTTCTGATGTGATAAAATACATTAACGGAAAACCTATGATCATTCTAGAAACAACAAAAAGGAAGACAAGATCAAGAATTATGATTCTCAATCTAGAATCAATCTAGATGGCTTAAATTTTCAATAAACTTATCTAGACCCTGTGGTATAACTGATGTGTCAAGTCAACACAACAGATATCAAGACACATTTTGTTCCAACTTGTTACATTTGTTCTCAAAATAAAAAGTAGCAAATGTTTTCCAAGGCAAGGCCATGGTTGGATAACTAGTGTAGTAGCAGGGCAGTGTGAGAGCTCTGTGGTCAGAGTGACTCAGGTTCAAATCTCCTATTTACCAGTAATGTTACTTTCTGCAAATTACTTATCTTAGTGAACCTCAGATTCTGCATCCATAAAATCAGCAATGCTACCTACCTTGCAGGGTGGTTCTGAGAACCACAGAAAATAATGCTTGTAAAAGTAGCTGGCACACACTTAATGACAGTTATAACTATGAGACCTAAGCCAGTTTCTTCATTTAAGAAATTATACACACACCTCCGTT